CAAGAGTTGGTACCATTTTATACAAATCAGATGATCATACTCAGTAGATTATAAGCTTTGTGATGATACCTTACAAGAGACCTTTTGCATGAAGCATATCCCAGTTACGTTACATTCACTTATTACCGTATTTTCTCTAAAACTATCCCAGTTACATTATATTGCCTTATTATCAAGTTTTTATAAAACCATATAGACTGCACAACGTCACAGGAAGAACTTGTAGATCAAAGGTGTATTGACCTTACCTGGAGTGGTGTTTTGAGTTTTTAAAAAAAGGAGATTTTTTTTTGCCAGTGATTTAGTTAACTAGATGTTAATGAAAACAAAATACCTGGATAAAAAAGCACTTGTTCTTCCAATGAATCAGTTCTTAACCTCCATTGTATCTGTGATTTCATAGACAGGCAAAACACAATCTGAATTTCTAATGTAAAAGTAATCAGGGATTTTTTTAAGAGCAGATTTTAGATATTCTTTATATATTATGAAGAAGCAACAAAAAGGGGGAGATATAAGTCAATTTTCCCTCCATTTTTGCAGGTCACTTTTAAAATTAATGTCTGAACAATGTGGTGTTTTTTTCAGAATCCTGGAATAGACTATGGAGATGTTTCTTCCAGAAAGGAGCTAAGAAAGAAACTGAACTGTAAAAGCTTTGACTGGTACATAAAGAACGTTTATCCTAATTTAATACCTTTGACCACTGTTGTTGTCTACGGAACAGTAAGTACTGTGCATGTCTACTGAATAGATGCAACAGTTAGATATCTCCACTATTATGAAGGTTGTTGAAGGCAATTTCTTCTGTGTTCCTGATCAGTCTAACCCGGGTTGCTCTTGTAAATTGGTCATATTATAACCATAGTATTGGTTTTACTAGTGGTTTTAGAGATATTTAAAGTGAGTGCCATCTTTTTGTAAAACTTTCTGTACCTGTTGCATATCTAAACTGTGCCCACTGCATGTCTACCAGCATAAACATAAAATAGCATAGGAAGGTATTTAGAAAGACACATTTTTGTGCAACATAAGAATGCTCATAGAGCAGGGAACAACAATGGATGAAATCTCTCCCTATAATTGTCTGCAATGTTCAATAGAATATTATGGAGACGCATCACAGAAATGAAAAGTTCAACAAAGTAATCATTGCCTGCTGTACAGCTATAAATCAAGGGAGGACAGTATCTTCTGGTCACTCATTTCAGAGTTGTTAAGTTGCTTTTTAAATTTGGACTGGAACAATAATCATGAAGATCATGATAGAGGGAAAAATTATAGCTAAAGAAGAGTAAAATATACAGAATGTGAAAGAAACAATTGTCAATTTAAAAACAATGGACCACATTTTCAAAACTCCTCTGGCTGAACTGGGCACATGCAGGTTGTGCCAAGGGCAAACTCAAATGTGTGCAAACTCAGATACATGCAAGCCTTTGTTTTGCTCACAATGAAACAGAACACAATTGTTTTTAAAGATTCAATCACATGAGAATTTTTTATTTTGGTTAAAAAGACATTTCCAAAAAGTTTCAGTGGAAAAAATTCAGCCTTTTCTATTGGTGATACTTGTAGTGATGTGGTTTTTATGGGACTGCTCTATGATTATACTGTATCAGTGAACAATTGTGTTATAGTAGGGTTCCCCAACCTGAGGAGTTGTCTACACTATAAAGCCTTTGCCAGAACCCCTAGTGGAGATGCACCATATGTTAATAGAATGAATTCTTCCACCAGTGTACATAAAACACTTCCCTCAGTGACATTAGCTAAGCTAAGCACTATTCTGTCAGCATAGTTGCGTCTACACGTGGGGGGACGGAGCAGTTTGCTGGCATAGCTACATTGGCCAGTGGATGTGATATTTTTGTACTTATAGCTAAATTTTGTAGTGTAGACCAAGCCCAGGGCCGGCTCCAGGCACCAGCCGAGCAAGCTGGTGCTTGGGGCGGCAGATTGTTCGAGGCGGCATTCTGCCCAATCCTAGGGCGGCACGGCCGCTTTTTTTTTTTTGTTAGTTTTGTTTTTTTGTTTCTTTGTTGTGCCGCTCCGGCCGCCCTGTAGGGGGCGGCAGCGCAGAGGATGGGAGCAAGCCCAGCAGGGCAGCCCAGCATCCTTCCCTCCCAGACGACTGGAGCGGCGCGGAGCCTCCCGGCAGGCGGCGCACCAGTCAGGGCCGCGTGGTAGCGCCCCGCTGAAGCCTTGGCCGCCCTCCTTCCCCCCCCGCTCCCTCCCCTCCCCCCCTGCTAGCTGGGGCACGTCTGCAGCGCAGGGAGTTCCCCTGCACCCTGGCTCCGGCCGTGCCGCAGGTTTTTTTGTTTTTTTTTTCTGCTTGGGGCTGCCAAAAAGCCAGAGCCGGCCCTGACCAAGCCCCATTGTTTCTTTGATGTATAGACACTAGAAAAGCCTTTAGATTTGCTTCTCATGTTTTCTGGGATGAAGTCAACTCTGAAAAGTTGTTTTGCGGTTTCTTTTTCTAAATCCATCCTGTGTTCTCCTGTTACTTCAGAGCTCTGAAGCAAAACTGCAAACCAGCATAGCTCTCAGCAGAGCTTACAAAAACAGTGGTGAGAACAGGAAGATGTGGTAGTTATTCCATGCATTAATATGCCTGTTTTATCTCTGCAGATGAAAAACACGCTGAATGAGAACATCTGCGTAGATCAAGGCCCTGTCCCTGGAAACACTCCAATAATGTATGACTGTCATGCTTACTCATCACAGGTATTAAAAACAAGCTATTTAACTGCAACCAGAAATCTTTTGTTATCCTTTGCTTTGGATTCTTTGCTAGACAATGAAATAGACTCCTGAAAATTGTTCTTCATGTGCTGTCATGCAGGGAAGACTAATTTTATTTTGTAAGTAAACAAGTAAAATCCCAAATCAAAAATGAATGGCAGTAGTCTCATAGACTTTAAGGTCAGAAGGGACCATCATGCTCATCTATCTGACCTCCTGCTCATTGCAGGCCAAGGCAGATACCATCATGGTCTAAGTACATTAAGTTGGTTCCATTTTTATGGGGAGGTGACCTCACTTACCACCTTCCCGCCCCACACACATATTGACAACCATTGTTCTTGCTGATGGTGGTTCCAGCAGAGAGGTGAAGGATTGAATGGGATGCAGACTGAACTCCTCACTCTTCACTTCTTGTTCTGTCACTAGGAGGGACACTAGTGATTACAGTTCCACCGTAATAATCGACCTGTTTTTTATGAACAGAGGAGAACAAGACTGATGTCATAGCTCTAGTGGGTCAAATTCATTCTGGTTTAACGTCAATGATATCAATGAATTTAGCCCCATGTATCTAATGTTAGTCAGTTTCACAAATGTCTGGTATCCTCCTTTGGGATTTCGTCAGTGTCCTAGCTCACCTACTCCAATGTAACATTGCCTTTCAGCACGTGTTTTATCTCAGCACTGAAGAAATGTATATAGGAGGCCTACGATCTCGACAGAATGCAGTAGATCGGTGCCTAACTGACCCTGGCACAGGAGACCTGCCATTTATAGAGCAATGTAATGAGGCTGTGAAAAAGGGACTGAACATGCATTGGGATTTTAAGCAGGTAAGTGAATTTCCATGTCCCTACATTTCAATGGCATGTTTCATCCTGAAAGAGCTTAAAATGCTTTACACACACGAGGACAAATTCTAAAGAAGGTAACTGTATTTGAATAGGCTTTACAGATTTCCCTGTAACTTACTGATCTCTCTTTGTCAGCACATATGGAGACTCTTCTGTTTACCAGAAAAGACTTGTTTTTGTATCTCTAATTAATTTATAGGGATCACATCTGTAAATATTGTCTAGTCTTTGAATACTTGAATAACTTTATCATTCTGCTGTGTCTCACTGGTTTGTCCTCTTCTTTGCTGACTTACAGAGTCATAGATTTTAAAACCCAGAAGGGCGCCTAGATCATCTAATGTGACCTCCTGTATAGAACAGGCCACGGACCCCACCCAGCACCTGCACACTAATCCAACAACTAAAATGAGACCAAAGTATTCTTTCTGTTACTAATTTATTACTAGCTGGCAGCCTGATGCTAACTTTACTCCAGAGTAATAACTTTCCACCTTCTGAAGCTGCACAGTTTGGTTCACTCAGTCAAACCGAGAAACTTTCTTTCCTACTTATGACCACAGTCAAGCTAGATGCAGTGACAAAAATGTATTCTGTCTGTGTGCAGAGAACATTTTCACTGACCTGACATATTACAGAAATCAAGAGAATTGTTTACTGCTTGGGCACTCAGTTCTGAAATGCAGACTGCAGCTTGTCTCATGCTTCTTTCGTTTTGCAGGGATCATCCGTGATGAACAAGAAAACTAAGAGATGCCTTGAAATTGTAATGGACAATCTGTCTTCGCCTTACAGACTTGTAATGCAGAACTGCACTGGACAAAAATGGAATGTTCAACACACAGTTAAAGATTGGGGCAAGAGAAGTGCTCTGAGATAGCTTATTTATCTCAACCAACAGATGACTTGGCATTGACTCTAGGAAGCAGGGAAATTGGGATCACCAGGAAAACATATTCTTCAGAGGTTTCCAAAGAAGAGCAAGACTTCTGTTGCTAGGACATTACACGATAGAGATTATCTCAGGTAGAGACTATAACATTTTGGGGAGCACATTATTGGTATGGAGGAATGTATGCTCTGAATTATGGGAGGATATGGGCACATAAACAGGAGGGTGACGGACACATGTACCATAGGTAGTTATCATTGTGTGTATTTAAGTTGGCAGTCAGTGAGGACAAACTGGAACCGAAGACTGGATGAGAGAAAATTGATCTTGTGTAGACCACTCGAGCGGGAGCTTGAAGATTCTGTGGTAGAAGAGAAACTAAGGAAATGCAAACAGAGATGTTATAAAGCAGGAGTTCTCACACTGGGGGTTGCAAGGTTATTATATGGGGGGTCGCAAGCTGTCAGCCTCCACCACAAACCCTGCTTTGCATCCAGCATTTATAATGTTATTAAATATATTTAAAAGTGTTTTTAATGTATAAGGGGGAGGGGGTCGCACTCAGAGGCTTGCTATGTGAAAGGGGTCACCAGTAAAAAAGTTTGAGAACCACTGTTATAAAGGATGTGTTATTCAGAGGTGACCAGGACCTACAGCTCCCATTGACTTCACTTGGAAAGCTGGGTGTTCAGTACCTCTCAAAATCAGAACCAAGGTTTTTTGTTTTTGTTTTTTTACAATGTCAGCCTTGTAAATAAGTGGCCTGATTTTCAAAAATGTTGAGCTCCCATTGAAATCAATAAACTACTTGCACTGGCCTCTTATTTTTGAAGATCTTGGTTGAGAACTATACACGATATCTGTACCATGCCTTTCATATTCAGGGGGCCTTCAGTGGATGAGAAATCACCCTGCTTTCAGCTTGATCTTTATATACTCATCTAATCTGCTAACCAGTGATGCAATGGAGCGGTGACTTGTTGGCTTCTGGGAGCTCCTTGTCAAAAGCCTGCAGCCAATTTGAAGTGAAGGCTGGGGTGATTTGCCTGCCTCTAGAGGAGTTACTCCTGTTCTGTAGATACTTCCAAACCATCCCTGTCAGAAAAGACTTATAAAAAGACTTGTAAAAAAAAGCCCAAATTAATGGTGTTAAATTTGCAAATGAATTTTGCAAGAGAAATGTCCTGTTTCTCTTTGAAGTCTGTTTCTGAAGTTTTTTTGTTCAAGAATAGTGACTTTTAAATCTGTTATAGAATGTCCAGGGAGATTGAAATGTTCACCTACTGGCTTTTGTATGTTACCATTCCCGATGCCGGATTTGTGTCCATTTATTCTTGAATAGGGACTGGGAGTGGCTGGCTCATTACAGAAGCAGCTTTGCCTCTCCTGGAATTGACACCTCCTCATCTATTATTGGGAGAGGACTACATCCACCCTGATTGAATTGGCCCTGTCAACACTGGTTCTCCACTTGTGAGGTGTCATAACTATAAAGGGAAGGGTGTAACAGCTGTCCTGTGTACAGTACTATAAAATCCCTCCTGGCCAGAGACTCCAAAATCCTTTTCCCTGTAAAGGGTTAAGAAGCTCAGGTAACCTGGCTGGCATCTGACCCAAAGGACCAATAAGGGGACAAGTTACTTTCAAATCTTGGGGTGGGGGGAGACTTTTGTTTGTTCTCTTTGTTTGGGAAGTTGTTGGAAATTCTATCTGTAGAGATTCTCTGGTACAATTTGAGTCGTTTAAAATTTTTACTTTATTTGACTCTGTGCTGTCTTTCACATACAGAGCCACTCCCTCACCAGCATGACCTAGGCTGCCATTCCAATATATTTTGTACCCTGGTATTACCACATTCCATAGATTATCCTCATTCCACCAAATTTCTGAGATGCCTAATGACTATTATATCAATATCTTCATTTAATGCCAGGCACTCTAGTTCATGCCAAGTTTGAGTTTGTACTGCATTTGCCTCCTTAGGATCCTTACCCTGGTGTTGTTAGGTTATTTCAATGATAAAGGTATGAAATGATAGTTGCACAATGGAAAAATTACATCCTTGACCTGGAAACAAAATCAGGGAACAGATCACTGACAGTGGCATATGTGACCAGCCAATCAGACTAGTACTTCACAGGTTCAGCAAAACAGCTCTTCCCTGGACCTGAAACCTTGTCTGCACTAGGGAAACATGGTTCCAGGACTGTAGACAGATGCCCAGGCCTTGTTTACATGAGGAAAAGTTACTTGTTGACACCAGCTGTTAGTCATAGGGACAACTAAATTGATGCTGCATGTGGTTTAATTGCCAGCATAGCCAAGGACAAGTTGCATTCAGCATATCAGAAACCATGTTTAAAATCTGGTTGAACCATAGTTGCTGAATACTGTTTGGCCTTTTCTGCAGTTATCCTGGTCAGTTGCATCCCCTTGTCAGCCACGGATAATTTTCCTAGGGTACACAAAGCTTGTGGGTCTGCTTATATGCCTGGAATCATGTTTGTATAGCACCATGTTTCAACTCTCATCTCACCTGTCACAGGGTTACTGGCCCTTTTAAGGAGAAATGGGCCCAGCTATACCTGTGCCATAATTAACTGCCTTGCAACCAGAGGGAATGGGGCTAATGAGGTCAGGTGTTAGCATGGCAGACACCTGGAACTCATACTAAAAAGGCATGTGAAATCAATGTCAAGGGGAAACTGTGATAGGAAACAGGTAAGGCTCCTACGGGAGGCCCTACAGTAGGAAGCAGGGAAGTTCCTGGGAGGGGAGGCAGTAGAACCTGCTAGGGAAGAGGGCCTCCAGGGAGAAACCCCTGGGAGGTATTGCTCATTTAGAAGGAGCAAAGAGCAACTTGCAAAGCCTGGGAGTAGTCACAAAGGACAGGGAACTTCAGCAAGTGAAAAGTAGACTGTCAGAGGAGCTCCAGGGGAACAGCCTGGAGTCAGCATTCTAGGACTGAGCAGAAAAGGATAGTAAGGTAGCCAAGAATGGCAGACAAAAGGGGGTGCAAGAGTGGAAGAATTCTTGCAATGTCATGTCCTGGCTCAAGAGGGTGCTCCAGTGGTGAATTGCCTCCATGCCGTTGCCCCAGTACAACAAATTAGATTTCAGCACATCCATACTACAGCAGTGACCAGATTTCCATTTCCATGGTGCAGGGGATAAATCTCCGTATGGATGCAAAAATAATGTTAGGTTACTACTAGATTGCCTTTGCTGGGTTTTAGCAGATACTTTCCAGTTACTTTCATATACATGATGCTGGAACAACATGATAGTTCACGTGCTTATGACTTTGGTGCTTATTCAATTAAACAAAATGTTCAAGAAACCTCTGCTTTGTGTCAGCTAGTGATGTGCACCAAATATGTGAGAATAACCATAAAGCCATATTTATTACCTCTTAATGTGTTCACTGACTCTGGAATGTAGCTTTACAACTTCCATTTTGCTTTAATTTTCTTCTATACTAGTTTTAAAAGATGTAAATGAATGTTAGTTATTTTGATTCATGCTTTGTATAGAGTGTTTGATAGAAATCTTTAACTGCAAGTTGTAAATGTATGAGACCTGGTAGGTTGTAAATCTAGGAACTATGCAATCAAAAGGAAACCAACCAATAAGAGCACCTTATCAAAGTACAGGATGCATCCTCCTTGTACAAGACACCATCCTGGTACAGATATGATCTTTATCTAAAGAGGACAAACTCTGTAAGATAGTTAAATTATTTTACAGTCTTTCTAAACTATAAGGCTATTCTTTATTTACGATATTCCAAAGAAGAGTGATCTTTAGGGCGTGTTATGAGAGCTAAGGTCTCTTTATGCCATCTCTTTGCAAGAAAAAAACTCTCTTGTTTAAACCCACAAGGAATTTTATATATAGCCCTATTGAAACTGATCTTTTATAAGCACTCTAAAATCTTCATTTATAGGTGGGAAACATTTTACAGGAGATATTGCTTACTTCTAAGTCACGCTTTCTCTTAAACGTGAAAACCTTTGTTGTCTCTCAACTGCTTATAGTGGCATAAGTTTCCTATGCAATATTTATTTGTAAATGTTTTGTATCTAAATGCAAGAATCCAGGTAATAGGTTCCTGATGCCATTTTTATATGAATAATAAGATGCTTATTGTACAATTACAGCAAGGTCATTTGATTCTATGACTGGTTACAATATAAGAAGCCGTTTGAATATAAAAATATTGATATTAATTAGGGAATTAAGTGAATATCTGGCAGTGCTTCAGGAAGCCCTTGCCAAACTCAGAAAGACAAGATGAGCCTCTCCAAGATTTGCTAAGAAGAAAATGCACTACTGTATTTGATGACCATTTAAGTTTAAAGACTAAATCGCTTAAATTGCAAAAAGGCTAGTTTAAGGGCTGAACGACTTTTGTATAGGAAATAGGAGTGTTTGAACATAAGAACAGCCATACTGTGTCAGACCAAAGGTCCATCAAGCCCAGTATCCTGTCCTCTGACAGTGGCCAATGGCAGGTGCCCCAAAGGGAATGAACAGACAGGTTATCATCAAGTGATAACCCAATCCCAGATTCTGGCAAACAGAGGCTAGGGACACCATTCCTGCCCATCCTGGCTAATAGCCATTGATGGACCTATCTTCCATGAATCTATCTAGCTCCCTTTTGAACCCCGTTATAATATTGGCCTTCACAACACCCTCTGGTAAGGAGTTCTAGAGGTTGACAGTGCATTGCATGAAAAAATACTTTCTTGTGTTTGTTTTAAACCTGATACCTATTAATTTCATTTGGTGGCCCGTTGTTCTTGTATTATGAGAAGGAGTAAATAACACTTCCTTATTTACTTTCTCTATATCACTCATGATTTTATAGACCTCTATCA